TTTTTCTGCCTAAAATTGCATGAAATTAAAAAAAAATGTTTTTATATGTTTTTAAATGTCAACTTCTGTGTTCAAAATCGTTAACGATTTCATAAACCATTAACTATTTTTTTTGCCGCTTCGCGCCATTAACGCCGTTAATACTGTGATAGACCATTAACGGCTGGGCCCTTAATTATGTAATAACGGTTCTGTTAATGGCTGGAGCCGTTAACGGTTGTGGATAATATTGATATCGTTAACTAACGGTAATTTTTAAAATATACGGAAAATACCGTTAACAAAACGAAGTTTCGTTTCTTACCCTCTAAAACTAAAGGCTACCTGAGTTTTTATTTTAAAAACGGTTAAAACTAACCGTTCACGAAACGGCTTGAAAAAGTTGGAACGTGTCCAGCCCTACTTACAGCGCGTCAATATTTTACGAGAAACGATACGTTCAGTTTTATTTATTCCGAAATAACAATTGTTGTTGTTGAATTTGTTGATAGCCTTGGCTTTAACTTTAAACTCAACATTTTTAAGTTTGTAATTTATTTATTTTGTATTCAATAAAATAAGAATGATTATGATATGATGAATTATTGTACAGCTCGCTCGCGGATTTCTAAAACAACGAAAGAGCAAATCTGGTCTTACATGTTAGAAAAACGAGATATTCTACGAAATCATCGTAGCTAAAAATATTTAGAATTCTTTACTCTTGCAACAAAAGGTTGTTTAAGAAAATTACCTTTTACAATTTCTTTCATTTTTTTTTCAAACTCTGAACAAGATTTGAAAACTATTTTATTTCATTTTCTCGGGCAAAGACTCAATTCCTTTATTATAAAAAATTCTGAATGATTTTATACCACAGAATTTACTTTCTCACCAGTAAAACATTTTTCTGATTTCTTTTAAGAAGATGCCAAACTTTATATCTTTGACTAAGATTTTTTTTATGGTACGGGATGAGATGGTCTCTTGATATAAAACTAGTCAAGGAACTCATATATAACTAGTCAAAGAGCTGATAACTACTTAGAACTAGTCAAGGAGCTGATATCTCACATATAACTAGTCAAAGAGCTGATAACTACTATAGAACTAGTCAAGGAGCTGATATCTGATTTAGAACTTGTCAAAGAGCTGATGTCTGATTAAAACTATTCAAGGAGCTGATATCTGATATAGAGCTAGTCAAGGAGCTGATATCTGATATAGAGATAGTCAAGGAGCTGATATCTGATATAAAACTATTCAAGGAACTGATATCTGATATAAAGGGCTAGTAAAAAAGCTAATATCTGATATAAAACTAGTCAAAGAGCTGATATCTGATATAAAACTAGTCAAAAAGCTGATGTATGATATGGAACTAGTCAAAGAGCTGATATCTGATATAGAGCTAGTCAAGGAGCTGATATCTGATATAAAACTATTCAAGGAGCTGATATCTGATATAAAACTATTCAAGGAACTGATATCTGATATATAACTATTCAAGGAGCCGATATCTGATATAAAACTATTCAAGGAGCTGATATCTGATATCTAACTAGTCAAGGAGCCGATATCTGATTTAAAACTAGTCAAAGAGCTAATATCTGACATAAAAGTAGTCAAGGAGCTGTTATCTGATATAAAACTAGTCAAGGAGCTGTTATCTGATATAACACTATTCAAACAGCTGATATCTGATAAAGAACTAGTCAAGGAGCTGATATATGATATAAAACAAGTCAAGGAGCTGATATAAAATATAGAACTAGTCAAAGAGCTGATGTCTGATATTAAACTAGTCAAGGAGGTGTTATTTTATATAAAACTATTCAAGGAGCTGATTCCTGATGTAAAGAGCTAGTAAAGAAGCTGATATCTGAAATAAAACTATTCAAGCCGCTGATATCTGATAAAGAACTAGTCAAGGAGCTGATATCTACTTTATAACTAGCAAAGGAGCTGATATATGATATATAAAACTAGTCAAAGAGCTGATAAATGATATAAAACTATTCAAGGAACTGATATCTGATAAAGAACTAGTCAAAGAGCTGATGTCTGATATAAAACTAGTCAAGGAGCTGATATCTGATATAAAACTAGTCAAGGAATTAATATCTGATATAAAACTATTAAAAGAGCTGACATTTGATTTACAACTAGTTTGATAGAAAACTATTCAAGGAGCTGATATCTGATATAAAGAGCTAGTAAAGAAGCTGATATCTGAAATAAAACTATTCAAGCCGCTGATTTAGAACTAGTCAAGAAGACACACTATGGCACACTTGAATTCAAATAATAAAAAGATTACTAAAGAAACATAGTTTGCTCTACAATGGTAAATATAAACTGTAAGACTTCTATACTTTTCATCTTCAAATTAGAAATTATTAAAATTCTAAGAAAAAGCAAACTTATCATTATTCAAATTTTTATCATAGATTTTAATTAACAGAAAGCAAATTTACATCTAACAACATCTTAATATTAATCCCCAAAACTGGAAAAATAAGTTAAGTATTGAACCAGCTAGGTTACAGCATAGTTAAACCATTTAATCCATAATTAAGAATTAAACCAGCTAGGTTACAGCATAGTTAAACCATTTAATCCATAATTAAGAATTAAACCAGCTAGGTTACAGCATAGTTAAACCATTTAATCCATAATTAAGTATTAAACCAGCTAGGTTACAGCATAGTTAAACCATTTAATCCATATTTAAGTATTAAACCCGCTAGTTTACAGTATAGTTAAACCATTTTATTCATAATTAAGTATTAAACTAGCTAGGTTACAGCATAATTAAACCATTTAATCCATCATTAAGTATTGAACCAGCTAGGTTACAGCATAGTTAAACCATTTAATCCATAATTAAGTATTAAACCAGCTAGGTTACAGCATATTTAAACCATTTAATCCATGATAAAGTATTAAACCAGCTAGGTTACAGCATAATTAAACCATTTAATCCATAATTAAGTATTAAACCAGCTAGGTTACAGCATATTTAAACCGTTTAATCCATAATTAAGTATTAAACCAGCTAGGTTACAGTATATTTAAACCATTTAATCCATAATTAAGTATTAAACCAGCTAGGTTACATTATAGTTAAACCATTTAATTCATAATTAAGTATTAAACCAGCTAGGTTACAGTATAGTTAAACCATTTAATTCATAATTAAGTATTAAACCACCTAGGTTACAGTATAATTAAACCATTTTATCCATAATTAAGTATTAAGCAAGTTAGGTTGCAGTATAGTTCAACCACTGAATCCTTAATTGAATAATAAACCAGCTAGAATACAGTATAATTAAACCACTGAATCCTTAATTAAGTAATAAACCAATTAGAATACAGTATAATTAAACCAGTGAATCCTTAATTAAGCCTTAACCATTTAGAATACGTATAGCTAAGCCAACTGAACCCTAAATCAAGTTTTTAGCCATGGTAGACAAAATTGGCCTTGGGAGCCCTTGGTAAGGTAAAATTCCCTTAACTTCCCTGTAAAGTAGTTGTAAATAATTAAAACTTAGCTAAATAACTAATTAATTAATTACACCACAGAATCCTTATTTAAGCATTAAACCATCTAGGATACGTGTAATTACGTTAGAATACAGTTTATGTAGTTAAATTACTGAATCCTTGATTAAGTTTTAAACCCTGTTAGATTACTATTTAATTAAATCACTGAATCTTTAATACAAATTTTAAAATATTCAGAATATTTAAGAAGTCAAATACAAAGATATAAATATCTATTTACAGATTATGATATCTAAAATGAAGTCAGGCGAGGGCAGAGGTATAGGGAGGGATGAAGGGTGGGGGGAGAGGTAGAGGGAGGGAGGAAGAGGGTAGAGGTAGAGGGAGGGATGAAGAGGGTAGTGGTAGAGAACATTTTTCTGATTTCTTTTAAGAAGATGCCAAACTTTATATCTTTGACTAAGATGTTTTTTTATGGTACGGGATGAGATGGTCTCTTGATATGAAACTAGTCAAAGTACTGATATCTCACATACAACTAGTCAAAGAGCTGATATCTGATAGGGGGAGAGGTAGAGGGAGGGAGGAAGAGGGTAGAGGTAGAGGGAGGGATGAAGAGGGTTGAGATGGAGGGAGGGATGAAGAGGGCAGAGGTAGAGGGTGGGGGGATTTGAGGTATAGTAGAGAGGGGGATGAATATGAGGGAAAAGGGGGTGTATTACCCCGTTCCCCTCTCTTTCTTCATGTTCTATCTATATACAGATAGAGTACAGGTCGTGACACTTTTCTCCGTCTAAATTCTCAAGTTGAAACGTTATTCAACCTTTGAAACAGTTTTCATGATTCTCCACAGTTGGAATATACTAATCTTGTAGGATTACTCAGGTCCCAGAGAGCTCTTTATTAGTTCTGTAACATCTGATTTGTCCACCTTTTATCGTAAGATTGTATTGCTTTCGTTTTTGCAGGGTTTGACACTTTAATGATGATCTAACAAACAAGTTTACAGTTTCAAGGGACCAAGAATGTAAGAAAAAAGACTGAGGAATATTTGGCGCTAATCCACCAGTACGCCATGGTCAATGGTCATGCCTAAACAATTGATAAATGTGCGATCTTGAAAATAAGGGAAGAGAAAAAATGTTTTTTAAGATATATTAAACTAAAAGTTACAAACGATACACGTAATTCTTCACTCGATAGCGACAGCAATTGTAAGTTCAAGTGATCCTCATCCCGATTCACAACGGTACTTCAAAGCCTTCGTCTAAGCAAAATTTATATATATGTATATAAAACTTATAATTTCACTTTCACTTTCAATAAAAGAGACTTGCGTATTTATACAACAAAGAAAAAAGAGGATACTAATCGAATTCAACCCTTTTAGATAAAAACTTTCGTTCTCATTATTGCTCAGAAAGGGACAAGAATCAGACATAAATACGTCACTTAGAAATACGTTCACTGTCCCTTTAATGTCATTAGAAAGTGTTAATGGGTCGGGGTCACTGCTGCCCTGGGACCCCAAACTCTATATCTGTAATATTCTTGACCCCCCAGAATCCTGGCATCTCCATCTTCTGAAGCATATTGTACGGATCCTTGTTGTACCGAGCAGAGATCTCTCGAGCAAACCCTTTAAATAATCTGAAATAAAGACAAATATATAAAACTGACATGATTCAAACGGTCGTACTTGGACAAAATGTAAAAATAGCAAGACCGTACCTGAGGGGGGGGGGGAACGGGACACGTACCCCACCCCCCCTTCCTGTTTAAGATCTAATTTAAGGTGAATAATATGTTTTTCATTGTGTTAGTCGCTTTGCCACCCCCTGTTTACCTTTTGTGCCCCACCCCACTAAAACTTTCAGTTACGGGACTAGCAAGAAGTAGTTGAACCACGTAGACTAGTTAAACTAATTAATGAATCGGCACGCATAAGATCTAATTTAAGGTGAATAATATGTTTTTGATTGTGTAGGTTGGCTTTGCCACCCCCTGTTTACCCTTTGTGCCCCACCCCACTAAAACTTTCAGTTACGGGACTAGCAAGAAGTAGTTGAACCACGTAGACTAGTTAAACTAATTAATGAATCGGCACGCAAGAAAATGGTTCAACCTAGTCTACGTAGTTCAACTAGTTCTTGCTATTAATCAAACTCGGGCCCGTAACAGATAAAAAGTATAGTGTTACCCTGACAAATTGGATTGCGAACATTCAATTCAACTTCAATTTGTAAAAGTTTGTAAAAATGAATGTTCCTTTACTCTTTACGTTAATTCAGTGTGATTCATTTATGATTAAATATACTCAACATTTCTGTGATTAAGTCAATTTAACAAAGTTTGAAAGGTGTTCCAGTTGAATTATGAATCTATGATTGATATCTGTGCTTCAATCTTATGCTGAAGAAAATCATATATTATTAATTGAAAGTAAATTTTGTATGAAGTTAATTGCAACGATGATGAACAAGACCTTAACTCCCTTAACCTGACATTTATGTTCTCTAAACAATTGTTTAAATTGTTTTTAAAACTTCTCCCCACGCATCAAAGCATTTTTAAGCCAAGAGCATTCTTTTTTACAATAAACCTAAGTTTTTTAAATTTATATTATGATATTGATTTGATATCTTATTTGTATTTGTTATTTGTATTATTTTCATAGATTAATAACAATACAAAAGGACTCTAGATGTCGTCTTTTCATCAGTTCGGAGTTTTTTTTTAATTGGCTGTTTTTGAAAAAAAATCACGGTTGAAAAAGAAAATTAAATGGGATTTTTTTAAAAAAGGAGATTTTTTTCTCCCTAAAATTGCATGAAACTTTTTAGGTTTTTAAATGTCGTCTTCTCTGTTCACAATCGTTAACGATTTCATAAACCGCAAACGATTTTTTTGGCTGGAGGCGTTAACGGTTGTTCATAATATTGATATCGTTAACTAACGGTAACTTTTCAAAATAACGGAAAATACCGTTGACAGAACGAAGTTTCGTTTCCTACCCCCTCTAAAATTAACGGCTACCTGAGATTTTATTTAAAAAACGGTTAAAACTAACCGTTTACGAAACGGCTTGAAAAAGCCCTACTTTCAGCGCATCAATATTTCACGAGAAACGATATTTTCAGTTTTGTTTATTCCTAAATAACAATTGAATTTGTTGATAGCTTTGGTTTCAACTTTAAACTCGACATTTTTCTGTTTGTAATTTTTTATTTGTATTTAATACAATAATAATGTTTATAAATAATAATATGATGAATTATTGTACAGCTCTGTAATAAATGTTGCTTGCGTATTTCTAAAACAACGAAAGAGCAAATCCAGGCTTACATATAAGAAAAACGAGATATTCTACGAAATCATCGTAGCTAAAAATATTTAGAATTCTTTACTCTTGCAACAAAAGGTTGTTTAAGAAAATTACCTTTTACAATTTCTTTCATTTTTTTTTCAAACTCTGAACAAGATTTGAAAACTATTTTATTTCATTTTCTCGAGTTGTTTTATTTTTAGAATCAGAGTTTTGATGGATTTGCCGGAAATTGTAGCATTGATCCCAAGATACATTATCGAACGGATATTTTATATCAAAATACTTCAAAACCAGAAGATACCGATTGGTCTGAATTAGTTGCACATAAATATAGAGAGTTTGAAAACTATAATTTTCTAATCCCTATGTCTTTAGCAACCCAAAGTAGACCTTCGATATTTCAAGCTATGAATTCTGTTAAATCTAAATAGTCTTAGTTTGAAATATCAAAGGTTTACGCCATCAGGTTGCAAATATAAAAGAATCAAAAAGTTCGAGCTTGTGACAAAAACTCAAATCCATGACAGCTGTCTGATTGTCAGCTATGTTTTCATGTCTTGGATGCCAGCAATACCGTATTTGTCTGTTTGTGTGTTTGAGCGTATGAATCACAGACTACTCAGACTGCTTGTCTCCTTTCACAGGGTGGGCTACGTAGGCCTAAGTTGACCAGGCACGACATGCTATGTTTTTACGTTAGGTTTTTAGAGTGCCATCTCACGGTCACTAGTTGAACATAATACCCATTCAGGGGTTAAGTTTTACAACTTTTAAAGAAATACTCCAATTTTAAACTAATCCATAATTAAGTATTGAACCAGCTAGGTTACAGCATAGTAAAACCATTTAATCCATAATTAAGTATTAAACCAGCTAGGTTACAGCATAGTTAAACCATTTAATCCATAATTAAGAATTAAACCAGCTAGGTTNATATATATAATAAACCTAGATACAGGATATTGAGTAGTATTAACCTATATCCTGCTACATACATCTCATATACCTAGAGTAGGATAGTAGGATATTGAGTAGTATAAACCTATATCCTACTATATACATATTATAAACCTAGATACAGGATATTGAGTAGTATACACCTATATCATGCTACATACATATAATAAACCTAGATACAGGATATTGAGTAGTATAAACCTATATCATACTACATACATATAATAAACCTAGATACAGGATATTGAGTAGTATACACCTATATCCTGCTACATACATTTAATAAACCTAGATACAGGATATTAAGTAGTATACACCTATGATCCTGCCACATACATATAATAAACCTAGATAAAGGATATTGAGTAGTATACACCTATATCCTGCTACATACATATAATAAACCTAGATACAGGATATTGAGTAGTATACACCTATATACTGTTAAACATCTTATATATGTATCAAAAAAATTCAGCAACGAAGATGGAATTATGATTAGTAGTGTAGGATTAAAGAACAGAAGTATAGGCGACTAAGATTAAAGAACAGGAGTTTAGTAGATTTTTGGAGAATTAGAAAGAAAATAGAATTAGAAAGAAAGTAGAATTAGAAAGAGTAATTAGAAATTAGGAGAATTAGAAAGAAAGTAGAATTAGAAAGAGTAATTAGAAATTAGAAGAATTAGAAAGAAAAGAAAAAACAGAAAGAAAGGAGAATTAGATAGAACGGGGAATTAGAAAGAAAGGAGATTTAGACAGAAAGGAGAACTAGATAGATAGGAAAATTAGTTCGAAAGAAGAATTAGAAAAAAAGAAAAATTAAAAAGAAAGGAGAATTAAAAAGAAAGGGGAGTTAAAAAGAAAAGATAAATAGAACATTAAATAAATATACTCTTTTCGGGCACATTGATTAAGCGAGTAGAGCTGATCATTTCTATAATACAAACCTTTAACATTTAATACATGTTTGGAAAGCTCTTGGGCTATAAAATGTTTAAAAGAAAGGAAACATAAAAAAGAAAGAAGAATTAAAAAGAAAGAAGAATTATTATCAAAGGAAAATTAGCAAGAAAAGAGAATTATAATGAAAGGAGAATAAGAAATAAAGAAGAATTAGAAATAAAGAAGTTTAGTTTTAGAATGAATGGAAGGATAAAGTTTAAAAGACTGAGAGTATAATTAAAACTATAAATTTACTTGTGTGTTCCTTGTCATACCGAACCCAATAAATCTCTCATCAAAGATAGGAGTTTCAGCTCTAGATACGTACAAGGGTTCATACTTGAACAGGAAGTGTTTAACTTCGTATGCTATTTCAGTGGTTTCCTAGACAAATTTGAATTAAATAATTATTTATATAAACCTTCAGATTAAACCCTACCACGAGAAACCCCAGAGTTTATTCTGGGTGGCGAGTATATCCCAAAGAGAATAGAATATATATTAGAGGGGAATTTACTAGAAAAAAGTGTATAACGGCCATTTTGTTGTACTGTTTCCATACTGAAAGTGTACTTCACATATTTATGCTTTATAACCTTTTGGGCCCTGGAATATCATTTTATAGAAAATTTAAAATTAATGAAAGTGAAAGGCAAAGAGTCTAAGTGAAAGGATCATTGGTCAATTATGAAACCAGCCTATTTCATAATTTGGTTTTCTTTTAATATTAATTTTAGATTTTCTTTAAAATGATATTCCAAGGGCCCAAAAGGTTTTATAGCATAAATATGTGAAGTATACCTGCAGTATGGAAACAGTACAACAAAATGGCCGTTTTACACTTTGTTCTAGTAAATTCCCCTCTAATATATATTCTATTCTCTTTGGTATATCCAGAGATAGGAGTTATAACTTGTGATTTACACTAAATATCTAGTTATTAATTTTAAGGATATCCATAGTACTGAGTGTGTATATGCCAAGGTTGTTTATTAAGGTTAGATTAGTTAGAAACTATGGATGCGCTCTAATATACGGGAAATGTCGTCTTAATAGCAATGGACACTCAAAATTCTTCGATGAGGTAACTGTTTGCATGATTATTGGTGGAGGATGAAGTGACAACACAGTTGATGAGAGGGAAAAGGATTTTCTCTGGTTTTACAGCTGATAAGCACTAAGTGTACCATGCATTTAGAAGTGCATGAGTTTACCCTGAGATAATACCTGGTCCGGTATTGCTTCCCATTTATCCAGGTCCGAACTAAGCTGGTTGAGAAGATAAACTGTCTGATGGAACCGTCTAGCGAAGTATCTGTCGATGAGAAAAGAGAGCTCAGTCTAAAATGTTTTGTTAAGATAGAAATGTTATTTATCCTACCGTATTAAACGATATAAAAGTATTTTATCAATTTTAACATTTGTTTAAAGAGAAAATCTACTGAGTCTCTTTTTCCCACAACAAGTTAAAAAAAAACTTCTTCCAAACTGAAGCTAAAAGGGACTGTACGCTTGATTTCATGTGACCCTCCATGTAAAGATGGCAGTGTCTGATTCACAATAGTACTCTTCAATCCTTTATCTGATCAATACTGTGACAGATATTGTTGTTTTTCTAGGTTTATTAACAGTTTTTAATTCTGATAACTGATATGGTTCATTTTGGACGAGAAACCACAATTAAAAATAATCAGCTTCCAAAATTATAAACATTGATTTATCTAATTCATATTTGATCAGACAAAGCTTTTAAGGGTACCGTTGTGCATTCTTTAAATATAGGGTCACTTGAAAATACGCTTACAGTCCCTTTGCAGCTTTGAAATCTTCATAATTAGAGCTTATGTATAAATCAGTTGACGAGGTAAAAGAAAGGTATAATGATGTCAAGATTAATTATCAACACTAAAATATTTCTAAATATTGCCGGACTGATGAGCAGTTTAAACTATATTGCTCAGTAAAAACATGAAACACCAGGAACTAAAGATCCTGTATGTTGCACGTAGCAACAGGAAACCCCAGGAACTAAAGATCCTGTATATTGCTCCGTAGCAACATGAAACACCAGGAACTAAAGATCCTGTATATTGCTCCGTAGCAACAGGAAACCCCAGGAACTAAAGATCCTGTATATTGCTCCGTAGCAAATGAAACACTATGAACTAAAGATCCTGTATATTGCTCCGTAGCAACATGAAACACTATGAACTAAAGATCCTGTATATTGCACAACATTAGTTCTACCAAGTGCAACAGATTGCATAGTTTAAATTAATTAATTATAATAAAGTAATATATCTAGAAATCACCTTGTTGGTTGGCATCATGTCCCGGCTAATGCTAGATTTAACTTCGTATACAGGAATTACAAATGCACACTTCAAGCATATTCAGTTAAAGTTAATTCATCAAGGAATATTAAACAAGTAGCTGAAGTGCCCGGCGTTGCCCGTGGAATTTGAGAAATATCTTGAAAAAAAATTTCAATTTTGAAGAAAAAAATTGATTTTAAAAAACCAATTTAAACATAAGTGTCGAATAATTTACCCTATCTAACCCCTAGGGTACCCATGGGTTCCCTAAAAAATTCAGCCAATTCGGTACAGTTATAAATGACTTATAAATATATATAGGCAACATATATAAGAATGTCTTGTTTTATTATATAAATATAGAATATGAGCGAAGATCTTTATTATAATAGATTTTACTTATGAGATAATAGCATGAAAGTTAAAAGGTTTCAGGATCATATTATTAAAATTATTTTGTTGTTAAAGTTGCTCACATCTTGTTTAGTGTAAAGTATAAATTAGGCGAAACTTAAACTGACATGTTCCTAACCATAACATTATTCATAGTAAACAAAATCTTATACAGGGTTGCCCACAAAGGATGAGACTGTAAAGACGACCTGAAACTTGAATCAAACTGAAAATCAAATATGACCTTTCCAAGGTTAAATTAAGTCTACTGTCTTAAAGAAAGTCTTTTATGGAATTTTTTAATGATTTTTCAAAGAAAGGAACACGTTTTCAGTTCCAGAGAATTATAAATTTAAGGAAAAAGACTGTAAAAATTCCGTACAGTCGTCTCTGAAGTCTCATCCTTTTGGGTAACCCTGTATATGTATGTATTAATATGTAAACAAGCCGACTTATTACGGATAATGGACTTTAAAATACTTTATTTTGACAAACTTCCGCTTATACTTTCCTTGTTGCAATTTGAATGCTCAGGTTTCTGCAAAAATACCTGGAAAAAATAAATAGTTTTTGATCGCGCTAAAATTCTTAAACCTCACAATTAACGTGAATACTTTAAAGGAATTGAGTCTTTTCCACAAACTCTGATTTTCTAACCCCTATGTCGTTGCAACCCTTTGTTGTATACCTCAGATATTTCAAACTATGAACCTTTTGTTCTATACTTGTACACTGTACATTACCTCTTGTTCCTCTACTATGTATACACGTACAGTAAACATTACCTCTTGTTTCTCTACCTTGTATACACGTACAGTGTACAGTACCTCTTGTTTCTCTACCATGTTGCACGTACAGTGAACATTACCTCTTGTTTCTCTACCTTGTATACACGTATATGTATACACACTGTACATTAACTCTTGTTCCTATACCATGTATAATTAAACAGTGAACACTGTACCTCTTGTTCCTATACCTAGCATACTTGAACATTGTAGAGTACCTCTTGTTCTTATACCTAGTATACTTGAACACTGTAGAGTACCTCTTGTTCCTCTACCATGTATACTCATGTACACTGTACAGTACGTATAGTTTCTCTACAGTGCATGTATGTACGTATAGCTCTACTTTAAATACTATTTATAAAGTGCACAGTACCTCTAATTTCTCTGCCATCTGCTTGGACGGTATCATGTCTGTATCTGGAACCATAGTAAACGGTGTCTGACATCCGCTCTTACCAGTGTTTCTAGCCAGGTTCTGAGGGTACCTGGAGATACAGTTCTTCAGATCTGGATTAGAGTTTTTACATTTTTCATCTAGTTTAATATCAAGGAGAATGATGACCTTTCCTTTGAAAATGGGTTGGTTTGAACTTTTAACTCAATAAATTACAAACAAAAAAAGTAAATTCATGCAAAGACCCGAATTTTGAAATTAATTTTGTTCTATTATTAAACTTTATACATATATAAAACTATAGAAAGAAATGCTATTTTAACAAATTAAACAATTTCAATAATTCCAATCAATTATAACATTGTAAAACTTCTACATTATAGAGAAAAAAGAAAATTAATTAATCCTTAAAAAAGAACTAATTAAGGATTCGAACACGTGTCACAAACTTTAATTTTCTAAGCGCTATGATTTCGCAACCCGATGGTATCAACTTATGATATTTCAAACAGAATTCATAGTCTGGAATAACAAAGGTTTACTAGCTCCTTCAGGTTGCAAGGATATAATAGTTACCTCAATGATTCTCTCCAAACTGTCATCTCTTCAGGTCTCAGGGTTAACAAATTAGCTGAAGTGTATATTTAAGCTAAAACGAAGACTAAAGATTTGTTAAATGGTAGTAAATGGTAGTTGAACTGAGAATGTAGTATTGTGGAGAATTCTTTTAAAGAATCATTTGAGACCTTTTAGACGTTTTTTCGGTGCATATTTGTTTAGCAAGAGCGCAAATTCAATCTTTAAAATCCTCATATATTGTTAATTTTTTAGGGATAATTTTGAGAAACTATTATCATCGGAAATAAGTAATTTTATTCAGTTTCTATAATGTCTCATTTTTCACAAACATTGTCTGCATATTTCCTTGAAGAAATCTGCGAACAAATTCGTAAAGAATAAGAAATTCAATATAATGATGAAAAAGAAATAATTCATTCTAACATTGATTTATTGAGAAAATTTCAATTGAGAAATATGTTCCTAACCATCTAATTAGTTAACTATAGAATTTTCTGGATTTTTTTGTCGTCGTTATTTAATAATTTAAAAAAATCAATTCTCAAAACGTAACCACCCAAATGGATAATTTTGAACGTCGACTTTGCGCTCAAACTCAGTAATTATACATCATTAAAACGTTTTATATGTCTCAACTTCATCTTAAAAAATTTCTCCACAGTACATTCTCAGTTCAACACCTTATATTGCCGGTTACTCCCTTAAAAATCAACTACTAAAAAAGATTCAATTTAGTAAAAAGACCATCTTTATGGAAACAAGACACAGCACAGGACGATTAAGAACAAAATTAAAAGAAACTAAAGCCAGAGGTCCGTACTTTATACCGATCCCAATATCAAGTTATATCCATATTTTTAATGTACAAGGCTTATAGGGAGCTTCAAATGTGAATATTTCTCTTTGTATACATTGTAAAACAAAAACAAACAAAAATTTCGTGGATTTTCAAAATTTTCAAAAATCGAATTTTGTTGGAGACAAATTTTTGAAAATTCGATCATCCATAAACCTTCCCTTGGGTCACGTAAGGTCCCACAAAAAATTGGGTTTGATCGGTTAAGCCGTTTTTACGTTTATTGGATACAAACAAACAAACAGATAGACAAACAAGCAAAGTATATATATAGATATCGAGATTAGATAAGCGCTAGAAGTTTCAATTGTATAACGGTTTAAAAAGAATAAATATGGATTAAACAAAACTGGATTTAGAACGATTTTAATAAACTAATGCAATTCGGATTAAAATAAACGGGACTATAAACGGATTAAATAAACTAAATGCAGGAAAATTTGAAGGAAACTCGATAAAGACTGGATTAGATTAAACTTAATTGGTGTGGCTTAAAGGAAAATATTGACTGTAATATGGGAAAGGAATTAAACAAATAAAAAAAGTTCGGATTAACTAAAACTAAATACGAACATGGATTTTAGAAAACTGGATTAAGAACGGATTAAATCCAAACAAATGCAGGACGGATTAAAAGGAAATTTAACTAACTTAAGAACGTATTTCAAGAGTCATGAGAAGCCTCAAAACTAAATTAAAGTGTTGAATTAATTATTAAAAGAGAATTACGATAAATTTGGTGGAAAAGGTGAATGAATAAAATGATAATTTTCTGAAGAATCCTTTCATTAAAACTTTTCAAAAAAATATTTTGACAATAGAGCACTTAAACCTAAATACAAAGTTAAAAATTAAACTTTTAATTCCTCTTCTTAAACAAATATATTTACCAATTACTACATGCGGGGATTCACAAGGTATACTATCAATTATACCATCTAAAAAATGTATTTTTTTTTTAAATTTTTAAAAATTAAAATTTACATAATTTTGAATTACCTAACATACTAAAGTTCTTTGGTGGATGTTCATCAGGATATATAATATGGAAGCTGACCTAAAAATAAAAAAGTTGTACTCAAAGGGTTCTTTTTTTTGAAAATGCACACAATGACCCAAATTTAGGAATGAGGAACAAACTAAGCATATCTTGTATCAATACGTTTAGTCATTTAATTATCAAAAAAATCCATAGATCTATTTTATTTTGCGTATAAAAAAAAAGTTCTCCAATCGTTTTTAAAGTTTTCAAATTAAGGGGACTATTGACGCTATTTAATATGACATTTATCTTCACAACAGTGGGGAAAATATTGTCGGTTTTTTTATCTTAAAAAGAATTGAAATCTGTAAATTATGTTAGTGGTATTTTCTGGAAATAATTATCGTAAGTCAATTCTATAGAGATACCACAATTACTTTTTAGACAGGTAAAAAAGAAGATTCCAGCCTTTTTTTATTTGGTTAATTTATTTAAATAAGATATAAATTTTTATATTCTACCACTTTGTATTATTGTATTGGAAGTAAGGAAATATTCTTGAAATCCCCGAAATAAAAAGTTGTAATATTGTGTTTTTTTTAAAGAGATAATCAGTCTCAAAATTTATTTTTCAATTGAACTTTATTTTTTGATTTGCCTGATTTCTAACTGAAGGATAACAGGTTCGGAGGAACTTAATGAAGACCATAGCTATAGAGTACTCAACATCAGGTAGAAATAAGGTCATAGATATAGGTCCACTCCACCTAGTATATACAGTACATAGAGTACACATAGAGTACTCAAGATCATATAGACACAAGGTTATAGATATAGGTCCACTCCATCTAGTATATACAGTAAATAGAGTACATATAGAGTACTTAACATCAGGTAGAAACAAGGTTTTAGATATAGGTCCACACCACCTAATATGTAAAAGTATAGAAGAGAAATATTTGGTAGATGAAATCTCCATGATATTTTTTTTTGAGGGGGGGGGGCAGAATAAAATTTGGAGAAGAAAATTCTGGCAGATGTCTTTCCAAGAATTTTAAATTGCAGTACATTACAAATAGTATATATTGTTGACAATATTTAATAACAATGAAAATAAAGTAACTTTTCAATTATTTATTATTTGGATTGAAAATTATGAAAATTATTTTATGTCGTCTTTATTCGACCTGTTCGCCATCTGAACAATCCAGTGCATTCTCTCCACACTAGAATGGGTTCCAATGCAGACCTAAATACATTTTACCAATTTCATTTGTTTTTAAACATTATTTATTATTCTTTCTTAGACGTTTATTTAATTCCAGAGCCTCATTTATAATCTGACAACGTAAACTAGAGGTGGCTATCATGTTCTTTAAAGCTAGATTAATTAGAAAAATTAAGCACATTTCTTAATTATTTATATGCGCAAATTGGGGTTTGGAAATTCGGGAAATTTGCAACTAATTGTGTTTGTTGGAATCTTGGTAAAATTTCTAATTTCCATATTTTTAAAAAATAATTTTCACCTGTCGAGAAGAAAGCTGTGCCCATTTATCAGCTTTGATAGCGTTTGTATGAATTTTAAATAATCTCCACCTAGGTTTATAGGAGTTTTATATAATCTCCACCTAGGTTAATAGGAGTTTTATATAATCTCCACCTAGGTTAATAGGAGTTTTATATAATCTCCATCTAGGTTTATAGGAGTTTTATATAATCTCCACCTAGGTTTATTGGAGTTTTATATAATCTCCACCTAGGTTAATAGAAGTTTTAAAAAGTTAATATGAAATTAAAGGGTCGGTCAAACAGGTTGGCAAGATGAATTTTGTCTCGTGTTTCTTATTAAAATGGATAAAAATTGTATAAAAATCTCTTTTTTATTCACTATTTGTCCATTCTAGTACATCCACCTAAATAACTTATATGTCTTACTTAATTGAGAATTCAACTTTTAAACGACACTTAGCGACAAAAAAAGTTAAAAGTTGAAAGTACAATATATATGAAACTAGTGACAGTATTATGAAATATAATCTATATACGAATGCGTCGAAAATAATCGATGATTATAGGTAGGAATATCTAAATGATTTGTTTGGAATTAAATTAATTTTTTTACGATCCAAGTTGAATATTGCAACTTTCTGAATTTGTATTGACGCTATGTTCTTCGGTATGAGCTGTTTTTAACCATTTTCTCCTTATAGACGCAAAATATAGAAGTAAGAATAGTAGCAATCACCATCAAATATTTTTCGACGTAAACCTATACCCCCCTTAATTTTTCGCGAACACTTCCTTTAAATTTAATCAAGATTTGGTTTAGAATTCAAAAATCTTTAAATTTTTTTCCTCAAGTGAAAATTAGCTGGAACAAAGACAGAAATGTTAAATTCGCCTGACGTTTCCAAAGAATTGTAGAATTTGTTCGTTGGTTGACTTGTTTGTTTGTTTGTTTGAATTAAATAAACGCCAAAAAATTATCAGAACCAAACTTTTTCATTCCAGGAAAAGTTATGACTAAACTTGGGCAAAGTGACAGTTAAAGGCTGAAAGAATACTGTAAAGAGGGGCGCGAAGCGCCAAAAGAAACTGTACTTTTTATTCCTCCTTATAGAACAACCAAAGGTCAAAACTTGTGTGTGAAATAGCGCTAATCTGAGACAATTGAACACAAGATACAGTGTGACAACTTTTAAAGGAAATGAGTTTTTACCACAACTTAAATTTTTTAATCTTTATATCTTTGATAATTCAAACTATGAATTCTGTTAGATCAATCTACCCAGTTTGTAATTTCTAAAGTTTACACTATCAGGTTGTAAAGATATTGTGATTCAGTTGCTCTCAGGAATATTTGCTTGATCTTTAAATTATTGTTCCGACCGCAGGATTTCCAAGAGAAAGGAATTGAGTCTTAGCAAACTCCAGCTACAATCTTTTCAACCAAATGTCGTAGTCCTTAGATTTTTCAAATTTTGAATTCTGTTAGAACTTAGATCATATAATCTAAGTTTGAAATTTAAATAGTTTGCAAAGATATAAAAATTATAAAATTTGAGTTTTGTGGCAAAGACTCAATTCCTTAAAGTGATCTATTTGGCGACAAATACGGATAACTGCTTGATCCTGGGATTCACAACTTAAAAAAGTTAGAACTCTGATACTATATTAAAACTGACCTATCATATACCCCCTCATCCTGTTTAATATGGGATATCTTGTTAGTTTCAATCTCAGGGTGTCGTTCTGTAGTTCAGTAAAATAAAATACAAATGTTTGGAAATTAGTTTTTAACAAGCAACACATCGAACTGGGCAATATTTAAAGGTTTTAATTTCTAAGTTCTGGATGTCCCCAATACTAATACTGATCACATCCCTCGATTTCTTATTATTTAATTCTTATATCTTTTTAACTAGTAGGATATAGATATTTCAAACTATGTATTTGAACAGATTCAATGGTTAAATTTTAAAAAATCAATTGTTTCTACCACCAGGCTGCAAAATTTTAGGGATTGGAAAATTAGATTTGAATGGAGAAATCAGCTACTTTAAAGTTTTTTAAAGTAAGATTATATAAAACCTTATAATAAAAGAACATTTTAGAAATGCTTTTCTAAAAATCATTTAGATTTTGTCTTGAAATGTTTAATGTTTATAAGTATAACTTTTCAGCAGCATCATATATATTATTATATACAGGGTCATTCACAAAGGATGAACCTTTAAAGACTTCTTTACGGAATATATTAAATCTTGTTCTTGCATTCAAGATTTCCAGAAGTTCTATTCTTTTTTATGTTCTATTCCCATTAATTTTATGTAGGTAAAAACTGAAGATTAACCTTTGATTTAAAGAGCTTTGTGTCGTCCTTTGTGGGTATTCCTGAGATGAGATTTGAAAAGCTTAAACCTGAGTAAAGCCCAAACTCGGGCTTAGATAGAACTCAAGTCAGGATTGGTTCTGAGTTGACCAATGAGAGACTGTTTAGCAAGCTTTCTCTCTGTAGCAGACAGAATGCCGTCAGATTAGCTGTGATGTAAGGAGATTTAAAATGTACAAATATAAAAGATTTTACGAAATTTACGATCATCAGCTGCTGAAGACTCGAGCATTAAAGAATGAAAACCCCAAGATTGTTGGTTTTTACTAAACTCAAGGCCATCCAAAACCAGGGTCTTTACTTGAGTTTTACTTGGGTCGAAGCAGACGCAAAGACTGGATTTTACTCGGGTTTACGCTTTTAAAATCTCATCTCTGCTCTGCCATTAAGATTAACAAAATCTGACATAATTTGTATTTCCTTGGTCTATGTTTGGTTTGATTAAAGATAGACTAAGAGGAAAGGCAGTATTGTTGGATTTTTCAATTGCTTTCTTCACCGCAACACCGGCTTCTCTAAATAATTATTTTTTATAAAAAAAGTTTTTTTTAAAATTTTTGATAATTTTACCTGTAGATAATTTCTCTTTTACACAACAGAAGTGCCTTGTAACATTTACATCTGACGCTTTTTAAACCAATGAGAAACTTAAATCATTTTGACTCAACGTTTGTTTAACAATTTGTAATCTAGAAAGTTAAAAAAAAGTTACAGCTGTTCATTGCTTTAAGAATTTTAAATATAAAACTTGAAATGAAAAATATTCTTTTTGAATCCTGGTAAATATGATGTTTGAATGAAAGGTTTACATGCATGATGTTCCTGCTCAAAAGTGTAGATATTGTTTGCAGTGTGGTCCATACTGTCATGCGCCTACATTTTAATTAATTTTATTTAAAGGGACTGTCCTTGGAATTTCAAGTGACCCTTTTTGTAAATAATGCCCGATTCACGTGTGCATATTAAGTCGTCATCTGATTCCGTATTTATCAACTTTGTCTAAAAACCTTCATATTTATTTTTAATTTTTAGAATAAAGATGACAGAAACCTTAACATCCAGGAAACCTGTGTATAAAGGTTAATACATATTAAATAAAAAAACTTTTGATTTTCTAAACACTATATCTTTGTAACCCGATGTCGTAGACCTTAGATATTTCAAATTGTTAGATCAAATAATTTAAGTTTGAATTATCAAAGATTTACACCATCAAGTTGTAATATATTCAAGTCTCAAGGAGGAGGGAAGGAAGATATAAGGTGGGAGGAGAGATAAATGCGAGTTTGTGGCAAAGACTCAAATCCTTTTTGTTTTGACTCATAGGGATGTTTTTGTGGGGGGGGGGGGGTTCAGAAACCCCAGCATTTGTTCTTGGGTCTGAATCTCATATTTATCGGATTCCTATACCTGGAGAAGAAAAAAAACATAGCAAAGGTGGAGAAACACGTTTGCCAGGGTGAGAGGTAGGACATACTGGATCCAACCAGTCTGTGATCTACCCATTGATAATCTAATAATAATCTAATAATAATCTAATAATAATCTAATAATAATAATGATAATTCAGAGATTTTGATTCAGCAAAAGACAGAGGTTGCAAAAGATATTTGAGTTTGATGAAAATGACGTTTTTAATTATGGATTAATTCCGCTCCATAGCTATATTTCCATATTTCATTAAAGTACAATATTTAAACAAAATATATCCGCCCCATCCACCTATCTTGATCTGTTATTAAGTTTCATGTATATAGTTTTGAGTGAATAATAATGATAACTTTCAGAGATTATCGATCGCTTCTCATTTGAGAGATTTTAAAACCTTTTTGTTCAATCTTAACTGTTGCCACATTTCAGGCCGAAAAGCCGGATTTTATTCAAAATTTGACCTTTATCATTACATCAAGATTCACAATTATATTTTTACTTTTGATTGAATCTCTACGAAAATAACTAGATTGCTACAAAATGTTGCATGATCAAATTTTTTTTTTTTTTAATGATTCGAATAACTTATATCAGCCCTTATCTTTAATTACAGCAGAGTAAATACCAAATTGTTTAAGATTTTTTGATACCCTTGACAAAAAATTAGTTTTACAGCAAAAATAACGAAAATGATATTACAATCACATATACAGAATGCAAGGAAACTAAAGAGAGAATTTTTTTTATTCATTGTTTCAATAGATTTTGTTCACACCTGTTAATTCTTTTCAATCTTCAGCGTAAACGGTAGGATAGACTAATACTAAAGGGGTTGTTCTATTTGTTGGATAGTGCCAAGTATTGTTTATTCAAAGGGATTGTTCAAATCAGTTCTTTTATTGATTATCTACTAAAGGAATTGAGTCTTTGTAACAAACTCTGATTTTCTAAAACCTATATTTTTTCCACTTGATGGAATTCATAGTTTGAAATATCTAAGGTCTACGGCATTGGGTTGCAAAGATATAGAGATTATAAAATCATAGTTTGTGACAAAGACTCAATTCCTTTGAATTATATTTACTATAATTTTGTAAACATTTGATGTTTCTATAAAAATATAAATATCTGAGTTTTGAATTAAACTTTCTATATATGTCTGGAATGTTCTAGTAGATGAAAGGTTAAACGGTTTCCATCTTCAGAGACGTTAATATCCGACTAGGAAATATATCTAAATATACTTTTTAATGATACTTCTGTGTACTTTATCATTCTTATTCGCTTCATCGTGAATTTTATAATGAAAGTGTTGTAAAGTAATTATCGTGCTATAAAGTTAAATTAACTGTACATTATAGCACGTGTGCTATGAAGTTTTGATTGGTTCCCGGATTTTCTCAAAAAAAAATTTCAATTGAAATAAAAATAAAATTGAAATTAACTTCATATTTTGACTTCTGCTTTGTTTCAATGCTTATTTGATCTAGGAATTGCCAATGAAATAAGACAATGACACAAACGTTTCATAAAATTACCTATAACACTATTATTTTGGCACAACGTAAAATAAAGTTTTTGGCCTTAAATTTTCTCTTTATCTCGAAGGTTCTCGCCTTTTTAGATAATATTTTGTTCCTCGCTAAAGCTCGGGACAAACTTAAATCTAAAAAGGCTTATATCTTCCCGATAAGAGAAAATTTCTGTCCAAAAACATTATAACACTGCGAACCCAAATATCAGTGTTATAAATAGTTATACTGGGATTTGAAAAGTTTATTAAACAAACTTTTATCATTTAACTAAATACAATTTTTAAAAAATTTGATAAATCACTTAATTCTGATTTCTGATGAATTCTTCTCATTGGAATGAATTCATTGTTCACAGTCTAGAAAAATTCAGGAATCTTTAAAAGTTTTAAAGTGTGATACGTTGATTGCCAGAATTAAATGAAAAAGAAAGACGACTTATAATAACCCATATCGTGCATCGACAAAATTAAGTTAATGCCGCATACAAACGTATAACAAACATATAATGTTGACTTTTTTCTAAATCAAAAAATGTTTGCTATATCTTGTGATAATTTTTAAAAAGATTTATTTAGATATTTATCTCATACACTTTATTCTGAGCTTTTTACAAAACATTGACTAGTGTCTTGCTTTAACTGAGAAATATTTCTTTAAATTTTAGCTTATAAACTTTATTATATGCTCGTTACAAAATATTAACTATTGCCATTTGTCTTACTAGAATTGTAAAAGATTTTTATCAAAATATTATATATAAAACATTATTCTGAACTATTTACAATATATTTACAATCTCGTAAAACTATCATCTGAGTTATATACGAAATATTGACTAATATCATAATATAATTGTGAGAAAAATAAATTTAATAAGAATTATCTAATAACACTTTATTCTGGACTATTTACAATATATTGACTATAGTTGAGAAAGATCCTTATTAGATGCTCTAAGACTTATCTGACTACCAAGATTCTTCTTGAGAGTTTGTATGACGTCACCAGCTGACAGGTTACTCACACTGCCGGTCAGTCTGGAGGCTACAGAGCATAGTAATCCTCTCATTTTGGAGGACGACTTGTAGGAGGACTCTGCCTCCACTTTAGTTGGAGGAGGTTCTTCGATCTCGGAGCTTTCCTCATACTCACTTTCATCTTCATCTTCATCATCTTCTTCTTCAGCAATAACATCAAAATATTTATTGATTGAATCCAGAACCCATTTTCTATTTTCTTGGGATTTCGGAGGGAGAACTTTTTTATTGCTTTGAATTTCCGAATCTTTGTGAATTATTCCGGAGCCTCCGAATTTATATTTCGGAGCAGAGGTTTCAAACATGGCCTTTACCATTCGGTTGGAGGCTGAGAGGTCGGTTAGGGTTTTTTCATCGAGGTCAACCTTTAGCATCTCTCCTGGTATACCAACACAGCTGTTTGACCTCCTAAAGAAAAATACGTCTTGATTAATTCTTATAATACGTCGGGCTGTCAATAATCTATATTTATATATAGATTATATGATAACATATGTTTATCTGTTTGTATGTCTAATCATAACTCAGAAACTTGTTGACTGATTTTTCTCAAAGGAATGGAGTTTTTACCCAAAACTCACAGTTTATAATCCTTATATCTTCACAATCTGATGGTGTGAACCTTTGATATTTCAGACTTAGACTTATTGATCCAACAAAATTCATAGTTTGAATTATCAAAAGTCTACGACATCGAGTTCCAAAAATCCCGGGTTCGAAAATCTGAGTTTGTGACAAAAACTCAGTTCCTTTAGATCAGGGAACTCGGTAGAACCACAAGAATGTTCTGAGTTTCAAAAATTCTAAGTTGAGTTGGTTGACTTTTTTAGAGAAAATGTAGTTTTGGGGTAAAGCTGGGTTACCAAGCTAGGGACAAAATAAAGAAGAACAGGTAGTTAAAAAAGGATAAAAGAAAGGAAGTCTTTGCCCGAAACTTAAATTGTCTAATCCCTATATCTTTACAACCTGATGGTACAGACCTTTGATATTTTAAACTTATAGATTAGCTGATCTTTCAGTGAAATATCTAAGATTTACGAATTTGGGTTGCAAAGATTTAGGGATTAGAAAATCCGAGTTTGTGACTCAACTTCTTTTAGTAATATTCATGAAAACAATTTGCAACTATATTGCGCGCAAAGAAATTAAGTCTATGCCACAAACTCTGATTTTCTAATCCCTATATCTAAGTTTGAATTATTAAAGGTTTACACCAAAGATATATGGATCAGAAAATTTGAGTTTGTGGCAACGATTTAATGTCTTTCACTCAGTTTCAATCAGAGTAAGACACACTACATTGTATTAAATCTAAATTAAAATTAAATTTTTAGAGGATGTACAATCTATAACAAACAATGAAACCAAATTTCTTAAATATAATAGCTAACCTCATGACGGGGCCAGGTCTAGTCCTTGATTCATTAATCTGACTGCTCCCCTTGTCTAGTTTATTAAACCCCTTCATTACAGAACATTTTCTTAATGCTTGGAGTTCAGAGCTGATGGTTTGAGAACCATTAAAATCTTCTTCAGAAATCTCAGATTTATTAGATTTTTGCCTCAACTTTGGAATTAAATCCTCACTACTTGAATCCGAATCATCATCAAAGTTCCTGGGTTTAATTTTCTCCTTCCCTTCAAATGTTGAGGTTAAAAAGGATTTGAAATCCTTCTTTCTCTCAGGAATCACGTCCCTAAAGTCCTGATCAACGCTGCTTCTCCTGGTACTGGAGAATATACTACCGGAGTCAAACATCTGCTTTATATTGGAGCAGGATCCGGAGACGGTTGGTAAATCCATCTCCGACCTACTCATTCCAGGCTTGGAGTCAGAGAAATTTAGCACTCTAGACTTGGAATCTGTATATTTCTGGGAAATTTTTGATTTCTTCATGGTCTGAAGAATGTTCATTAGACTGGAGAAAGAACCAGTTTTTCTTTGGTTTTTCTCCGGGGTTGATTCCCGACTGGAATGGATTAGATCCAAGTATGCATATTGTTCCTTCAACTGTTGTTTATATTCTTCAAGTTCTCCGTCAGAATCTGATATATCTTCTAAATCCTCGTTCTCTGATGGGAGAGGCCGGGTTGGTTTAATAAACTGGTTTAATCTTGGAGCAGGTTGCTGTGGTGCAATGCTTAATCTTTGTTTGGACAAGTTTTCAGTTAAACAATCTTTACTCCCGCTTATAGAGTTGTAAATCTTTCTAGAATAGGAGTCAACTTTCTTTATGGGATCTTCTAACAGTTGTTTCACAGAACTTTTCTCTCTTTCTGCATCGCTTGGTTTCACAGATTTTAAAGGAGGTTTTGGATCCTTAGGTTTTATACTTTCAAGTAAATCAGGTTTACTCTCAGACCTATTCATAAAATGCTTCTCCCAAAAGTTAGATTTTTGATCTTCTTTATTCGACGATAAAGATTTTTTACTCTCTCCATCTTTTTTCTCTTTTTTAAAAACCTCCAAAGTACGTTCAAACGCCGCTTTATCAATTATTACTTGAATATTTTCTTTTTGTTTTGTTGCAGAGTTTTCACCTTGTTGGAGGAATTTTGTAGGATCAAGTTTGTTTACGGTTATCCTATCAGGACTTGTTGGAGTTTTTAAACTTTGTTTTAAATGTTCTTCAAATGAATTTTGAATGTCTTGAATATTGAGACGGTTTATAGCTGTTGGTTCATCTTTCTCTGCTACTTTCTTCTTTTTATTTTTTATTTTATTTTCTTCACAAACAAACTGAAGATATTTTTCCATTTCTTGTTTATAAAGCTCAAAGTTCTCCTCTTGCTGTTTTAATATCTGTTCTTCTTCAACATTTTTGAGTCTTTTTAATTCGGACGTAATTTTTTTCTCCATATTTTCTACTTCAAAGTTGTGTTTCTTGAATATTGGCTCATCATCTTCATCAATTTCGAGATCTGTATTTTCATTTGTAGGATTAGTATCATCGAATTCTCCAGAAACAACAGAACCAGATTCTTTGCTAGCTTTCTGGCATTTACTCTGAAAATGCTTTGCCCAAAAATTAGATTTTTTTCCCTCAAGTTTTTTATTAATTGAGTTTAACAATTCTCTCTCTGCTTCCTCTCTTTTTTCTTTCTCAAATAAACGAATTGTTTTTTCAAAATCAGATTTAGATAAATTCAAGTCTACAACTTTCTTAGATAAAGAAACATATTTGTCCTGTTCCTCTTCTTCTTTATTTTCATTTTCAAAAATTCCAACCGTTCTCTCGAAAGCAGCTTTATCAATGATCACTGGAACATATTCCTTCTTTTTGGGAGCTGAACTTTCATCTTGTTGGAGGAATTTTGTAGGATCAAGTTTGTTTACGGTTATCCTATCAGGACTTGTTGGAGTTTTTAAGCTTTGTTTTAAATGTTCTTCAAATGAATTTTGAATGTCTTGTATATTGAGACGGTTTATAGTTGTTGGTTCATCTTTCTCTGCTACTTTCTTCTTTTTATTTTTTATTTTATTTTCTTTACAAACAAACTGAAGATATTTTTCCATTTCTTGTTTATAAAGCTCAAAATTCTCCTCTTGTTGCCTTAATATCCGTTCTTCTTCAACATTTTTTAGTCTTTTTAATTCCAAACTTTTCATTTTTTCTACGTCATTTTTTCTCATTCCATTTTCTCTTATGCTTTCTCCCGCCTCACATAAAACCTCAGAATCTTGAAGGATCGCATTTTCTTCAAGATCGGACTTTTCAAGTGAATGATCTTTTTCTGCTAAATCCGAACTCTTCTGTGGTTTATTCATAAAATGTTTTGCCCAAAAGGTCGATTGTCTATCTTTTTTCTTGGATAATTCAGCAATCCTTTCCTGCTCCTCCTTCTCTTTCTTTTCTTTTTCAAATAAACTAATTGTTCTCTTTAACGCAGTTTTGTCTATTATAACAGATATGTTCTCTTTGGTTTTAGGACCGGGGTTTTCAGTTGGTTGAAGAAACTTAGTGGTGTCTAGTTTACTTACTGTAACAGCATCTGGACTGGTTCCTCCCGTAAATGTCTGTTTAGAATTTTCTTCAAAAGAGTTTTGAATATCTTGAATATTAAGGCGGTTTATCATGGGAAAATTTTCTTCTTTTTTGGCAGCTTTATTCTTTTTCTTTTTAACTTTGTTCTCCTCGCAAACAAATTGAAGATATTTTTCCATTTCCTGTTTATAATTCTCAAAATGTTGCTCTTGTTGTCGTAAAGCCCTTTCTTCTTCCATATTTTTTATTCTCCGAAGCTCTGAATTTATCTTTTTCTCCATGCTTTCTACTTCCGCCTGTTTTTCCTTGATCCCGGAGCATGTTATATTCTCCTCCTTATCAAAGAGAACCTGGGAGATAAGATAGTTTTGCATTGCCTTTTTATTCATTTCTTCCTTGCTTTCAGAGCTCGAGACATTCATCCTGGTTATCTTATGATTTTCATTGTTGAGTAAACTTTGCGATTTTTTCAGGTTTTCTTTCGACATTTTATGAAGAATTTGCTTCGATCTGTGAATAATGTTTCTTGTTCTTTCTTTCATTATTCTTTTCTTTTCTTGAAGATCTTTTCTGGCTTGTTCTTCCAGCTCCGCAGCTCGGGACAGTTCTTCAAACTTTAGAGCCATGGAGTTGTTTGCTATCTTCTTTTTGGGCTTTTCAATCTCTTGTACATTTTCTTTTTTCTTTTTCCCGTCAAACAGTTTTTTGATTTTTTCTTCCAATGTTTCTTTTTTAAATTTTTCAACCTCTTTTATTTTTCCTTCGTCAATTTCAGATTTCAATTTTTTCTGTTCTTCTTCTTCCAATTTTTTTCTTTCCATCAATGCGCTAGAAATTCTCTTTGCTTCTTCAAACTTAAGAATTCTTTCCTTCTCTTCTTTTCGTCTTTGTCTCTCTGTTTCCTCTTTCCACAATCTGGCTTTCTCAAGTTCTACAGCTCTCAATCTTTCTTTTTCCTGATCTTCCTGCCGTTGTCTCTGCTCCTTTATCTTCTTCTCTTTCAGTTCTTCTTCTAATTGTTTAGCTTTCTCTTCTTTGAGTTTCTTTCTCTTCATCTCAATTGTTTCCTGCATTACTTTCTTGATCTCCTCTTGCTGCTGCCTCCTTGTTATCTTCTTCTCTTCCTCTTCAACTCTTCTTTCTTCTTCTTCTTGCTCCTGAACAAAATTACGAATGACCCGAAGATAAAAGTGTTAATTATAAAAGTCACTCAAGCTTCTTTTAAAGGTAAACTCATTCAAATCTCGAATATTAACCGATAAAAATAGCAGAACAGTTAATCTCCTTGCTAGATGATGATTTTAATTCATTCTTTCCTTTTAAAAGTTTCAAACTTGATAATAATGGGCTATTTATAATCAATATCTTGTAAATTGATAAATCTTATTATTTATGATTATTGATTCGTAGCTCAAAAAATATAAAGGAAAGAAGCTATTGGACTAAACACCACTTTCAAGAGACATTTTCGTTAACTATCTAAAATAATCACTACATGGATATGGCTTTGTTTTATTGTATTTTGAAAATCATATTTTATTTATTTGGTAATTTTTGAAAATTAATCTACTTGAAACTTTCAAACTCAAGGAGCTACTAATCTGATTAGTTTATTAAAACTTGAAATATTTGCTGGTTCCTGCTAAAATTCGAATTGGAAACAGTTTAAATCAACCAACCTTGAGTCTAGCGATCTCTCTAATCCTCTCCTGTTCCCGTATCTGCTGAGCATGCTTAGCTTCTAGTTCAAGAATCTTATTCAGTTCCTCTTGAATCTTATTCTTTATCTCCGCTTCTTTTCTCATCTTCTCTTCTTTCTGTTTCCTCTCCTCTTCAAACCTTTTTACGTTCTCCTTTTCCCTCTCATTTATTTTTCTCAGGGTTTCTGCGATTTCATCTTCGATCTTTCTCTGTTTCATCGAGTTTACAGTTTGTTTAATCTGGTCGGAGTAGGACGGAGAACTGGGTTTCTCCATGTTCTTCCTCTTCTCATATTCGGCTGCATAGTCCTGAATTAGGAAATGTTGATCGTGCATTTTTTTATATATCAAGCAATCAAACCAAACAAGTTTTTTTTCACAATTCTTTGTTTTATGAGTTTTCTGTAATTCTAACGGAGGTAAATAATTTATTATAAAAAATTTCTAACTTTGTATTTTAGATTTATTTCATATATTATGATCTTGTAAACCTGAAATAAAGGATATTTTTTGGGGTCCCGGTTTTACTTAGATTATTATTTTTGAAACTGTTGGCATTAGTTTTAGGGAAAAAACAATGATGAAAGAGAGATAAATCCTTCTCCTAATTTCTAACTAAGCCTTATGTTTATCAGAATTGGTTAACATGTAAAAGAGGAGAAATATTAAAGCAAGGTTTAATAAAAAAGAATCAATATCTCCATTAAAAAAAAGGTTATGGAAATGCGTTTCAATTACCACTCCCCCCCTCCCTCTCGAGTCAACTTTAACAAAGAAATATATATTTACACTAGATATATAGGTTTCGTTAATGTTATTTGTAAAAATAACTAGATGTACATCATACAAACATTTTTTTCTCGGATTGAAAACTTCTTATAACGTGCTTTTGCTTTACTCGTGTGTTTTTAATCCCTCTAAAATGAATTGAATTAATATTGAACCGTAAGTTTTTCAAGATTAACAAGAATAGTTTTTTTAAGAGTAGGGATTTTCAAAATCATTTTCTTAAACTAAGTCTAAAACTCACAAAATTTGTTTATGATCACATTTTGATGGTTTGGAAGATTTTTTATACCTTGTAACTATCAAGCGTGGAGAGAACTCCCGCATTTTTATCCATTTTCATATAAAATGATTGTTTAGAATTTAACAGATCTCAATGACAGTTCCGAGTTCAAGGTTGTTATGCAAATAATTGCATATTTCCAGACCTCGATGTATCCTAGTAAACTGAAAAGAGAATTTAAACTGACCGGAATTAGAGAAAGCAGGGGAAGGTCAAGTCTAAGGATATTCTATACTTTACGGGTTGGGAACAGGTGGGACAGGTTGGGAATAGGTGGGACAAGTTGGGAATAGCTGGGCCAGGTTGGGAATAGCTGGGTCAGGTTGGGAATAGGTGGGACAAGTTGGGAATAGCTGGTTATGAATACAGTTTAAACAAATGGGACAAATTGTAAATTGAAAAAGTTAGGTAAAGGTCTTCTTGAGATGGAATTCTTGCTTTGATTCAATATTTGAACTGGATTTAACATTCTGAAGTGTTAGTATTGTTTGGGTTTAGAACCGGTCAGAGTAGAAGTAAAGGTGGTTAATAACTTTAATAATTTAAGCGAATTAAAGGGATTGTTCTACAAATATAAAGGAAGGGGTATTTACTATCATTAATGACCAAAAAAATAACGTTAAAAAGCAAAACCTCAATCTTGATTTTTGTTTTTCGAAACTTTAAGATTATTCGCTTGAAATCTTACTTTTTCAAATATTCGAAAATTGTGCACAGTCCCGTTAATTTTAATTTGGTTTCCAGGCCTTGCTAATTTATTCTTACGTTTCACCATGAACAAAGGAATAGAGGAATGATGGTAGAACTAATAGGATTGTTTACATCTTACTGTGACGTACCTTTCGAACTTATCGTAAACAGTTACACAGACCGTAAACAAAAATCAGCATTCCTGAACAGGAGGGCCGGACCAGGGCAATTAAACTTTATGCTAAATGTTTACTATAAGACTTTTATAATTATGCAATCTTAACAAATCTGAACACCCTCTTATAAGTTTAAATCCTCCTTGAAAATGAAGTTGTCCATAAACTCACAAACTTTTTTTTCAAATGGTACAAACTGTCCATAAAAGAATTATTACCCTTGGTCTTCTCATGGTTTATGACGCATTTTCTTGTACTATCATTTTTAATTTAATCTAGGTTTCTTCAGCATTAAAATTTCTTTTAGGAAAAGTTCTAAAATAAAGTATAAAAAACGGAATGAATCTCAAGTATATTTAAATGTCATTGTTTAGTAATAACTTTCTATTTGTTGGGCAATCTTTAAACTGAAAAATATAAAATATGTAAAGGGGTAAAATATCAAACATGTCATGAATATATACTTGCAACTATGTTCATTACAAAAGTATGTTTTCTATATCAAAATTATGAATGGCTGCAATTCTTACAAAATGTTATTATTGTATAACTTGGGAACACAGGTTTGGCGTGAAACTTACCTTTTATCATTATTTATAAAAGTTCGTTTTGATTTTCTATTTCTATTATTCTGTTCTTGATTCTAGCATTTTAATAGTTCTTTCTATTAAAGTGACATTGGACGCTAAACTTTTGTTCTGTCATAATGAAAGAGTTCTAGCTCAAGTTCTAGTTGTAGTTCTAGTTCTAGTTCTAGTTCTAGATCTAGTACTAGTTCTAATTCTAGTTCTAGTTCTAGTTCTAGATCTAGATCTAGTTCTAGGTCTAGTTCTAATTCTAGCTCTAGTTCTAGTTCTAGTTCTAGTTCTAATTCTAGTTCTAGTTCTAGTTCTAGTTCTAGTTCTAATTCTAGTTCTAGTTCTAGTTGACATGAATGATGCAGAGTATGTTCTAGTTCTAGTTCTAGTTCTAGTTCTAGTTCTAGTTCTAGTTCTAGTTCTAGTTCTAGTTCTAGTTCTAGTTCTAGTTCTAGTTCTAGTTCTAGTTCTAGTTCTAGTTCTAGTTCTAGTNTTGAGTTGGTTCAATTTAATCTTCTTCTAAATCTGTATCTAATATATATTTATAGCTGGCTGGACCAAAATTAAATGGAATTTTTTTAGGGATCCCTGGGTATCCAAAGGGCAACAAAGGTTAAACAATTAGATTTGCAAAAATGTCGTATTCATTTTATCTTATAATTACAACCGTCGCGTCCGTAAGGATTTCGTCGTTATAACTTTGAAAAAGCTATTAAAATAGCCCCGAAATATATAAAAACTTTAATGATGGTATGATAACAGTAACAATAACAATAAAAATTAACAATAACAGTAACAATAACAATAAAAATTAACAATAACAGTAACAATAACAATAAAAATTAACAATAACAGTAACAATAACAATAAAAATTAACAATAACAGTAACAATAACAATAAAAATTAACAATAACAGTAACAATAACAATAAAAATTAACAATAACAGTAACAATAACCAAAACAACTCAATTTGTATGAATAAAAGGCTGAAATTTTTAATCTGCATTTAAACCCAAAACTTTTAAGCAGAAACTAATATATATATTTCTTGAAAAATATATAATAAGAAACTTCCAGGAGTTGCCCCTCCCCTCATATTCCCCTTAATATTAGCCCCCCCCCCATGGCCGTAATTATTATGGTTTACTGACTAACGAGAAGATATGGTATTCAGCTAGGAGTAATGAGTTTTGCAACTCGCAAAATTTAAATTTTTGCAAATTCATTTTATATGCTAGAGCCTACAATGCACTTAATTGGAAAAAGCTGAAAACCCAAACTTAATGAATTTTTCGAGTTTAAAACTTTTTAAAGCATTTGTTTTTCTAAATTAACCATTTTTAAAACTATTTCAATAAACATATTTTTTACTTTGGATTTAATATAGCTCGTTTTAATTTTTATGGAAGATTTCATGCGTTGATCTAATAAAACAATAAAACTTAATAGCACACTTCAAAACACTAAAATATTGCCTTAAATGAATTCTGTCTTTGCCACAAACTCTGATTTTTTAATCCTTATATTTTTGCAACTCAATGTTGTAGATGTTTCAAACTATGATTTCTGCCAGATCAAATAATCATAGTTTGAAATATCAAAGTTTTAAACCACCAGGGAAAGGGATTAGAAAAGTTTTTCCAAAAAACTTGATTCTATTGACTACAGTATTTTTTCGGTAAAAATAAACATTTTCATCATGCGGATATTTTCTATGTGCATGATTGGGCACTGAATTAAATCAACTTTAGCAGATTTCTAAACTTTAGTTTTTAGACCTAAACTACGCTTTTTAATCTTTATGGAACCCTTGGAACTAAGATTTTAAATCTATAGTTAGTGTAAGTGTTACAAAGGAATTGAGTCTTTGCCACAAACTCAAAGTTTCAAATGCAAAAATCGTGATGGTGTAAACCTTTGATATTTTAAACTTAGATTGTTTTGTCTAAAAACATTCATAGTTTGAAATATCTAAGGTTTACGACTTTGGGTTGCAAAGATATATGGATTAGAAAATCAGAAATTGTGACAAAGACTCACTTCCTTTCAACAGCTAAATTATGTGTAAAAACACTATAGAATCAGTTGTTTTATGGAATAATTGCAGGTGTCAGTTTAATGTGAAATCGATTTAAAGGCACTCTGGGCCGTAGTAAATTTGAATTCGAACAGGACCTGTCCAGTTTGTACCGGCCTGCCAGATAACAGCGTGTACTGACCCGATCCTATGGTACAGTACGTCGCTCTAACCAGACTAACATACGACAGGGGTCAATTTTCTTGGCATAATCCCGTCGGAGGGCTAACTATGACAACTCCCATGGCGCGTTCAGACTTTTTACATTACCCGGCCTAATCCTAGGCCTATTTTACCGACCCCACTGGCTTAGTACACCATGAAGGGACTGTACAGGTAAATTTAAGTGATCCTTCATGCAAAGGTGACAATACCCGATTCACAATGGTACCNTTGTCTGTATGAGTTTATCTGTAAATAGTTGTCTGTATGAGTTTATCTGTAAATAGTTGTCTGTATGAGTTTATCTGTAAATAGTTGTCTGTATGAGTTTATCTGTAAATAGTTGTCTGTATGAGTTTATGTGTAAATAGTTGTCTGTATGAGTTTATCGTATGATATTATGGTTGATGGTGCTCCGGGAGGCTGGCGGAGCAAGGTATAAATATTCAAGAGACGAGAAATATTTATCATTTATTCAAGGAACATAGATTGCAATAGTCAGGGTTCAAATCCTTACTCTAGTGTAGGATAGGTAATCGTTTTGGATCGTTTTGGATTGTTTCTGAAAACCTTTAATAAAACTTCCAAGATTTCAAAACGGTCACAAGTCATGGTTTGCGTTTGTTAAAATTTGCAATAATTTTATCATAAAAAAAGTTTAAAATTACGATCTTTATAACACGTTAGTTTTGGCATGGCATTTGGGTCGTTTTTGTTTCGTTTTTTGCCTATTTTCTGTCAGGATGCAAATTTAAGAAACTTACATATTTAGTATAAACAATTTTGAAAACATTTTTCTTACAGAATGCACAAGAAAATATATGCAAAAAAACGATTTAAAAACGAAGCAACGGAATGCACATCACTTCTTTAGTCTATGTATATATAACTAGGCTTTTAGGGCGCATCGTGGCCCTTTTCCAGTATTAATTTTAGCGTTTGAAAGAATTGAGTTCTTGCCACAAACTCTGAATTTTAAATCCCTATTTACTAACAACCCAATGGTGTAGACCTTAGATATTTCAAACTATGACTTCTGTTATATCAAACAATATAAGTTTGAAATATCAAAGGTTTATATCATTTGGTTGTATATATAGGTATTAGAAAATTGGGATCTGTGGCAAAGACTCAATTCCTTTACTTTTCAATTTTTCTTCATAATTTTTAAACGCAATTTTTATCTTTAATCTACTTTTTTCCCGGGAAAAATTTGTCAATATCAACAAACCAAACCCATCCCTGGGTCATGTGATTTGTCACAAATAATTTGGGCCCGTTTAGACGTTTATTGGATACAAACAGCCAAGGAAAGTATATTGATGGTCCATGGATGCTTAAAAATCATGGTGCGTAGGGAGCATCTTTTTTGGTTTATTTTTAAACCCTTTTTTTACTTTTGAGAGCTATAGGTTCCGTATGAGTCTAAATTTTTAACATATTTCAAAATAATATCCTTTACAGGTTTGCTTTAAAAATTAAAA